GTACTCCTGCCAACAGAGTACTAGTATTTTCAGAATTAGAAACAGAAAACTGTGTTATTGAGAGCTTAGCTGAAGAGAGGTCAGTTTGTCAAATGGCTGCTTGAGGTAATAAATGGTAAATAATATTTATTTTTGTCTTATTTGGCATGCTTATTATTTTTCTTCTGTCCTCACTGGTGGGCAGTAACCCTTAGAAAGATATTGAAAGGAACAACTTCGGGCTTAAAATAAAATTATTACTGGATGGCTTCACTTGACACTGTCATATTTTTATGTCTTATGCAAATAACACATATATACCTTCATTATTCCATATTAAAAACACAATGAATAATTTCTGGAAAAGTATGATAATTATTGCATGTAGATCAATTAAGGAAATCTATGCTAAGGAATATTGGAAATTCAATTAAGGAATACATTTTAGCATAAAATAGATAAATACTAGGGTAGATCAAAGTGACAGCACAAAAGTGAACATCATGATCAGGTGTCTCTTTTTTCAGCTTTCAGATTTTGTGTGCTATGAACGAAATGCTTCCCTCCCCAGATTTGCATGCTGCAACCCCAGCCACCAATGGGATGATATTTGGAGATAGGTATTTAGGAGATAATTCAGTTTAGGTGAGGTCATTAGGGTGGGGTCCTCATGATGGGAATCGTGCCCTTATAAAAAGAGACCCCAGAAAGTTTGCCCCTCTCTTGCTATCCTCATGCACCAAGCAAAGGTCATGAGAGGACACAGGGAGAAGGCAGCCATCTGTAACCAAGGAGAGAGGCCTCACCAGGCACTGACCCTGTGGGCAGCTTGATCTTGGACTTTTAGTCTTCAGAACTGTAAGAAATACATTCCTTTTGTTTAAGCCACACAGCCTATGGTATTTTGTTATGGCAGCTTGAGCTAACAGACACTGTGTATGTACTTTCTTAAGTGTTATAGGGATTTAGAAGTTGTCAGAATTATTTTCCATATGTAATGGGCTATACCTGTAATCCTCTAAGTCATAAAACTATTTATATTATTAATTTTTATAATCAATGATGTCCAAAGAGGCCTTAATTTCTTAGGCCCCTTTTGCTTTCATTATCAGCATCAGCAATTTGTTAGGGCCATTTTGGAGGAATCCTCCCTCTCTAAAAATAAATTCTTTGCCACCTGTCAACAGTATATCACATGGACAAAGGTCTGTTAAGATGCAAATGCTGAGTGGCTGGTAGGCACCCTCAACAGAAGTTGTTCACTCCAGGCAGCCTCTTAGATCAACAGCCTGACATAGTCACTTAGTATCACAGGCGTCTCAAATTCAACATCTCCAATATTAATTCTTGATTTGGCACTATCCCAAACTGTTCCTCCTCCAGTCTTCACCATGTCATTTAAGGGCAAATCCAAAACACCAGTAAACCCTGCTGGCTATACCTTAAAAACAGAATAATCATCTCACTACTTCTCACCATCTCAACTGCTATACCCTAGTAGGTCACCATCATCTCTAGATTACCAACAGATTGCTAACAGATCTTGTTTCTACACTAACCCCCTTCTATTGTCAACACAGCTGAAAGAGTGAGCCTTGCTAAATCGTATCGTGTCCCACTTAGATTTCAAACTCTTCAGTGGCTCTGTAGCACACCCAGAGTATAAAAGAAAGTACTTAAAATGGTCTGTGAAGCCCTGCATGATCTGCTCCAATGTCCCTGCTCTGCAACCACTCCTACTCTCCCTCTTGCTCAGTCTATTCTGGGCTCACCGGCCTCCTTGTTATTCTTCAAATAGGTCAGGCAGGGTTTTGCTTTAGGACCTTTAGTTCTTCATGTGGAAATTTCTTCCTACAGATACCTCCAGAATGTCTAACTCATTCATGACCTCTAAGTTTTTGCTCAAATCTTGCCTTTTCAATAAAGCTACCCAAGTACTCCATTTAGAGCTACAACCTATTCTGTCATCTCCCTACCCCTTAACCTTGACTTAGGTTTCCTTATTTTTCAATAGCATTTATCATCTTCTCACATGGTTTATAATTTACTTACTCATCATCCTTACTTAAACTATTGTCTGTTCTCCCTGCTAGAATGTAAGCTCCAAAAATGCAAGGACATTCCTACCCTCCTACTGATGTATGTTTTCCACATCTAAAATAATGTTACATTATATATGTTCAATAAATAATTGTTGAATAAATGAATTGTTCTATCTAAATGAAATTTCTTAGTGACATGAAATAAACTCCATGAAAGTTGGTTTCCATTAGCTGGTATGTCTTATTATATATATGTATATTATTTATATGAGGGAAGTAGGCTCTGGGTTTGTGACTGAAATTTGCTGAGGAGCTGTAACTCTTTTCTCTCCCCCAATCATATAGTGGGAAAGAGAAAATGAGGTGGCAACAGATAGGAAAAAGAACTGCAATTAATTTATTGTTTATATTTTACTGGTAAATGTGCTGGTTAATTGAATATCTCAATTTATGATAAGACCAATGCCAACAAGATTCAGAAGAAATTCCATAGTTAGACACATAATCCTGTAAACTTTATGGTCACCAGAAAGGAGGTATCCTGTGTAAGAGAAGTAATTAAATTGGCTAATCTTGGTCAAAACAATGCATTTCCTTGGCTATTTCTCTAGTTATATTTTCTACTGCCATTTAAAAACTTTTCAAGCCTTTTTTCTTTTATGGTGTAAATAATTTTATTATATTCTGAACTACAGCACTATGGTTGGGGATGGAGAGAAAAGGGGACATACAATGTTTAAGAAACCACATTCTGCAGCCAAACTCTCAGATTTGCTAGTCATTATGCAACTGCAGTTGTGGGTAGTGAAATACAATTCTCCACCTGACTTTTCACATTTATAAAATGGGAATAGTAACACCTGATGGAGTTGTTTTGAGAAAGAATACTTCACAACACACAATGCCTGGTACATCATATTCACTCTATAACCATTTTTATAAAATAAAGAAGGATTTTATTAAAAGAAAATATTTAAAAAGCGAAATTTTTAAATAGACATGACATTTTCATAAAATGCTATTGTTCATACAATATCAACTTGACTCATGGAGGCAAATTAACATTACTATTATTTTTAAAAAACTCTATGGCCTTATTTGAATTTTTATACTAGGATATTTATAATTTGAAACACCAGTTTTAGGGAGGGGGATGCTGTGTTGTTCAAAGTCCTCCTCTGCATCTTCATGGTAGGAAATTTCTTTGGTAGCCCTTTCTCTAAGTTAAGATATATGTTGGCAGGAACTATGAAGGATCTGATATTTTACTCTAGCTATAAGCAAACAAGTAGAGTGCCACAATTGCATAGAAATTGGCAGAATGTGTGAGATTCCTGAGTCAGAGACAAAGAACTTTATTACTCAAAGCACAACAGACAGCATGAGCTTCATACTTCCATAGATTCCCCTCATTCTGAAGTCCCACAGGGCGAAGAGGAGCTGCCAGATGGGTGCTGCACATGCATTGCGTTTGTTATCCAACTGGAAGAAGAACTTCAAGCTTAGGAAAGTCCTAAGAAGGCTGCTAGCAAATGTACCCAAACTTTACCCTGGCAGGAAATACTATCTTTGAAATTAAATGTGCAGAAAGGCAAGAAACCCATGGGGACTTAACTCCCAACTACACAAATGCAGTTGCATCAATAAGGCTATTTTGATGAAAAGAAGATGAACAAAAATTTTGACCACAGAATTAGACTAACATTATAAATGTAAACACTCAATCCTTTCTAAGCAGTTCTTTGAATATGTAATCAGTTGGAATACAATTTTGCAATGGTTTGTTCTTTCTAGTGCTTTATCACTTGATACCTTCATAAGTCATGCATTTTTCGCTCTTATCACATAGGTTTTACCCTTCCCCTCTATTTACTTATGCCAATAATTTAACCTTAGTGGCTTAAGTATTTCTTACAGCATTGAAGGAACTTACAGACACTTTCCCAAGAGTAGCTTCTACATCAGCAATCTTCCTTTCTCTCTGCCATTTCCTCTGAGAATTGTTTCACAAGGTCCAACATCCTCTTCTGTAGCATAGCTGAACAACAGATACTCAGCTCTGCAAGATTGATTTCTTTTGTGAATAGTTAACATTTTTTTGATAGCCTTATTTTTAAGAAACATGTTAGCCCTTCTCTTGTTCTTCAGAGATAACTCAAAATAATATCATTTGGTCTATTTGTTCATAAGCCAAAGCTACAGCTGCCCTGTCCTTTTAAACTCAGAGCTACAAAATTCATTTGAGTTCCAGAGATAAATCAGACTTGTCCATTGGTATTACTTAATAAGCCAAAATAATTGAACATTGAACAAGAGTTTGCCCAAAGACTGAGTCAGATTATATACAAGACACCGTCTACATTATCAGTGTATAAACAGTAAATAACTTTTTAGTATATGTTCATGTCCTGTGCAATATTTGGGACATACTTACACTAAAAAAATTTATTTGGAAATCAAATTTAACTAGATACCCTGTTTATTTGCCAAATCTCACAATTCAGGTCCCCATTTATCTACCGAACAGAATCAATAACCTGTTCGTCCAATGTGGCCTCAAGTGGGTTTTGGCGCAGAAGCGCTTCTCTTGGACTACAGGTGTGGTCCTGGTTGCAAAGTTTTGATGTGACGTCAACACTATACAAAAGTAAATGTCACTGCAAATTTTGAAATTCACAGATGGGTCTTTGAAGTCCAGCTCAAAAGCGTGGAGGAGTAGGTTAAAATAAGTCACAGACTTGCTGGTTTGCGGTTTCTAGAAACAAAAGTAACTTGAGGAGTTGAAGGCTTGTGGAAGACCTTTCCAGAGAGGGTGGGAAGTTGCAGGAGAAAAGGCTTCTTCGGGATTTAGAAGGAGAGCGCGCGAGAACCTGAGCTACCAAGTAAGAGCCGAGCAGGGACTGGTGGGCTCCCGACGGGGTGTAGCCAATCAGGGCAGAGATGGGTGGGGCTAGGCTGCGGGAAGGGGCGGACTGCAGGAGAGTTGGCTCCAAAGTGTGGGACTCAGCCAATCGGAACCGGGCAGGCCGGGGCTGAACTGCGGAAGGGGGCGGGTTCGGAGGTGTGTACTGTACGGTGAGTCTTTTAGCCTCACCTGCAGCTTCGCCTCCCTGCACCTGCATCTGTGCTGTTCTCCCAGCACTGCGGACGCGACTCGAGGGTGACGCTTGCTCCGCTCGTCATGGCCTACCCGGGATACGGAGGCGGGGTGAGTCCCAGCCGCTTGGCCGTGTCCCTCTCCCTCGCGGGGTGTGGCGCCCCCTTGAGGGCGGTGCCAGCGTGCCGGGTCCGCACTTGGCTGCTGCTCCCTGCGTCCGCGCCTGGTACTCGGCGGCGCGGGACTCCGGGGGTGTTGGGAGCCAGGGCCGCGGCGAGCATTGAGCCTGGGCTGACTTGGAGCCGCTGGTGTGGAGCCGAGGGAGTGATGTGTATTTGGAAATTTATTTCCTGGAATGGAGGAACAAGCCACCCTCTTCTTGTTCCAGTAATCTTTGGTGGTACATCCCTCCCCCGCCCCCAACTCAGTGTTGCTAGAGATCCTGTTTCTGAATTTCCTGACCACTTCTTGTTCTCTAAGTTCCTTATGAATAAATTAAGGTGTACGGTAAATAACTCCTAATCTTTACTGTTATATGAAGGGCAATCTGTTCTAGACTCCCCCCGCCCTTCGCCCCCAGGCGGGGGGAAGTTACTCTTTCTTATAACTTTTATCCTATATCACCTTTGGGAGTTGCAAGTTATAATCTAGAGTCCTGGTGGCTAGCCTCTTCTTTTCAGAAAGGAACCCAAATCTTTAGTATTGATGTCAGTGATCTGCAAAGTGGGTTGAGCACGCTGTGTTAACAGAGTTAACATTAGCTTGATCCATTGCTGTGTGGGTAGAATATATTTTCTATTTTTATTTCTGTTTGTTTTTTACCTAAACAGAGAAACTGTGTTTTACTGATTTTAACATAGGACTTGACTTTGGGCTATGATTGTGATCTTCAAAAGAGTTACTCCTACCCCTGGGAGTTCATGGTGGTCGTTGTTGTTCTTGGTCTTGTTTTAGGATATGAATTTCCAGGTTCTCAACTTCCACACATACTCGTTCCTAAAATTGATTTGCTTTCCTTAAGACTTGCCTCTATTCCCTATGGCACCTTCCGCTTTGTAATGCCTACTCCTCCTCAGTCCTTAAATTTAGGAAGGAAGTTTAAAGTGCCTAAGGAAAGTAAAGCCCCTTAAAGATTAGTCAAGATAGCATAAACTTGTAGGTCTTTAAAAACGTCCCTAGCGTCGACGTATTTTCATTTGGTTGAAGCTATCTGTTAGAAGTGTGATATATTTACTCCTCTTGGTATGCTATTAATTCATATATGTATGGCAGAGTGAGGTGGCAAGAGTAATACATTTTCATTCAGATAATTTGGTGCGTCCTTACGCACTTTGGTCAGAGTACTTGAATTTGATGGAAGGTTCCACGACACGATAAAGAGAACGTCTGTATATGTTTTGAACATTTAAATACCCTTTTCCATGAATTTAAAATAAACATCTCTTTTCAACTGTTCTCATGCTCATTATTAATCGCTGGAAAGAGAAGTACCCTCAATAGCTGAAGCAATGTACATTAGAGACGCTGATTTTAAAAAATGTAATTGAAATATTTTAAGATACATTGGATAACATTTTGGGATAAAACTTACATGATTTCTTTACTAGGAGAATATTAATAAGATAGTTGAGATCTTTATAAATCATGTTAAATAAAGGAAACCTATACCTTATTAATGTTTCTTATATTCTTTTAACAAAATATAAAATGTCAGCTGCTAGACCTAATTGTTTTGATAGTATACTTTTATCTAATTAAGTATATGATTTATCTCTGTAGGAGATGCATTTCCAATAGATTTTTACTTTCTTCTTTTAAGTATTGTTTATAAAAACTGTGTTGTTTTCTTTTTTTTTAACTAATTGTATATGAATAAAAATTATAACTCAATATAAAGGACTTTTTTTGTTTCTCATTTTGGTCACAGGAAATGAAACAATCTAAAACTTTGTTACATGTTTTTATTTGTACATGTTGTATTATACAAGCTTCAGTGTTTTCAATAATAAAAATACATTTTAAGCACAGAAAACTTACACAGAATAGATTTTCACACAAGAAATAGCATACAAAATGAATTCAAAGATGAAGAATCTGTCTTTAGAAATCATTTTTAATCTGTTTTGCCTTCCCAATTTGCAGCATTAACTTTCCCCAATCTCATAATTTGAGAACCTAGTGGTCAGATTAATGATGGTTACAAATTCTTTACCACTCCCCTTATCGAAAAGCACAGACTATTTCTCCACTTCCTTCAATCTGGGTTGGGCTTGTTTCACCTTCATCTGGTAGAATACAATAGAAAAGGCACCATGGCGGTTCCAGACTTACTATTGTAAGAGGACTGGCAGCTTCTGTTTCTCTCTCTTAGAACCTGACTGCCATGCTGTGAAGAAGTGGAAGAGCCATGTGAAAGGGCCCATGTGGAGGAGAACTGGGGTCCCTGTCCAACAAGGTTCATCCCTAAACACGGTTTACATAAATTCATATTTCAAGTTGTCCTCTTGATAGTTTCAAATGAGTCAAAATTGATCATTGTTATTATTACTACATAACGTGGGTAAGGAAAGCCTTAGACAATATTTTCATGTCCAAGCCTTTCATGTTTCTGTGCATGTTTTTAATCTTTACCATTGCCATTTTGTGAGGGCTTTAGTTAAAACTAGATCACATGATCTGTAACAGCAGAGAATACCACATATATAAACTGTAATAAGTCACAATAGGCTGAAAAGAAACAAGTGAGAGGCTAGTATATGGAACTCTCTCTCATCCCTCAGGATACTACCACAACCACCGCAGTTTCTTTTTTTTTTTTGAGACGGAGTCTCGCTCTGTCGCCCAGGCTGGAGTGCAGTGGCCGGATCTCAGCTCACTGCAAGCTCCGCCTCCCGGGTTTACGCCATTCTCCTGCCTCAGCCTCCCCGCAGTTTCTTTAAACATTTTGCTTCCTGCCCCTTAAAAGATTTTTGAAAAACTATATACCCTTTTCCCATATTTTATATTGACATATAAAGTTTTTATTTTAAGTTTAAATAGTTGTAAAGAATACAATACCCAATATATTGTAAATGTTGACACTTAACAAAGTTTCATTGTATTTACACATATATTCTTCTAAGTATGTGTCTTGAGGGTTACTTCTTAGTTTTACTTTAGGTAAAATCTTGCATTGTTTTACTTTTTGTTTACCTCAGTGATGTTGGTAAACATTTTTAAAAATTGTACATGTTCCTCTGTTAGATTAAGTTCTTAGAGGCTAGTAGCTTTCTTTTTTCTTTTACACTTCTTTTAATGCTGGGTATTATATGTTAACGAATTGAATTATGTCTTAATGTAGGACATCTGACATTTTGTAGTTAAAGTTTTTGTGATAGGATTAGAAGCTTTGGTAACTGTGTTTACTTTTTGATGGGCTTCTAATAATTTCTTTTGATCCAACTTTTATAGATAATAGGTAATATTTATATTACTAACCTTCTCCTATTTCGCTCTTATAGTTTGGAAATTTTAGCATTCAGGTGCCAGGAATACAGATGGGACAACCAGTGCCAGAAACAGGTCCAGCCGTACTCCTCGATGAATACGATGGGTTCCCAGCATTTTCAGATGCTTATTCCTCAGCTGGTGACTCCGTGTATACTTACTTCAGTGCTGTTGCTGGACAGGTGAGATGCTAAATTTATTGCATAAATATGTCTTTGAAAATTATTGTTTAAGAGAAATGTCAGCTATTTTACTTAGAGTATCGTTTTAAATGTATATGAAATTTATATTTTAAACTTATCTAGACTAATTTTTTTCCTGAGATCAGAGATGAGCATAGTCCTAATTATTTCATTTTAAAAGTCTGTTGTTGTGATGCTTGATACGTTGTTCATTTGACTAAAAGAGGAAACTTTTTTTTCATAGTGGGGAAATCTGATTCTTTCTTACTTAGTATGCTTGCCTTACTGAAATTCTTCTACAAGGGGCTTCTCTTACTAGTCACTAAACACTCCACCAAAACTTAGATATTATATCTTCTTATGAGTTATCATTTTTCTATCACTTAAATCTTTTTATTTCCTTCACTCTGTTTGACATTTAGGAGCATCAGACTCTTCCTGAGTGATAGATAACACAAAGCTAAGTAGGTTTAGCCTGCACATTCTTTTATAGCATGCAAAAATGAGTATTGGAAATTTGAGGAAAGTAGGAAGTATTTTTAAAAATTATAAGGAACAATATTTCTAACTTGGGCCTCACTCCCATTAAAAAAAAATCTCAGTTAAAACCTAAGTATGTCAAACAATATGACTGGAAATCACTTCAGCATGTCATAAATTTATTCAAGTTGAGAAATTACATTTTTTCACAGGTGAAGTTTTGTCATTTATAGTAATTTTGATTTTATATGACTAGTAAATTTTCCAGATTATCAAAATAATCATGTTGGGATTTATTAATTAAAAATGAAAGGAAATAGTATGTTATGATGAGGTATGGTATTAGGATGTTATTTGTTTCCAGTAAATTTGAGCGATTATTTAAAAGATTGACTTTATTGTGATCAATAGGGAAGTGTGAAACTGCCAGTTCAAGTACATGAATTCTGTAGGTGAATTGTTACTGATGATAATGTGAATACTTTTGTCATGGGAAGCTTTTCTTTTACTCCTACATAACTGTAATGCTATACCACAGCTTATTCTTAGTTCTAAGTAATTTTATATATATTTTTCATGTGAAATTTCAAGGAAAATTAAGCAAAGAGGATATGTATTATACCCCTTTGTATCAGTTATTAGTTGTATTTGACAGAAGTATTGAGTAAATATTCAAGATCGGAAGGAATACAATATTATAAGATGCCAATGTCTTCCAAATTAATTAATAAATAATATAGTATTATTTGAGTCAAATTCCTAAAGGTTGCTTTTTCTTTTTTCTTTTTGGCACTTACTGCAATGATTCTAAAGTCTGTCTTGTATACTATGTTATTGAGAATAAATATTAAATTATAATATATAAATGTATTATAATTATTAATAATTGTGATAGTGTGGTCCTAATGTAAAAACAAACATATAATACTGAAAAGCCCAGAAGCTTACCTGTGAATTCAGTATGTGGTAAAGGTAGCATTTCGTATCAGTGGGGAAAGAATGATTCCTGAATTAACTATCCTGAAATAATTAACAGTTTATCTAAAAGTAAATGTAAATCCTCAGCCCATACCATATAGTAGCATGAATTCCAGATATATTAAAGTATTGAAAAGAAGTTGTATTGGTGTTTATCTCCTATTGTTGAAATAAATGAGCTTGTCTTTTTTTTTTTTTTTCGCTGCTTTAGTATGTATTGCAGCACCTGCTATATTTGCGTTTTTGTCTACAAAACTTCTTAGAAGAGTCATGAACTAAGATAGTTGTGTGTGTTAATGAAACATTTGGGAACATCTTTTTAAGATGTGTGGTTTTTTTCTTGATATGTTTCATTTACTTGTTTAACAATTTGGGGGGGAAATTGAAAGCTTTTCTGTGTTTATGGAATACAGTGGATTGGTGCATGGAGACTGGGGACCAGAGAGGATTTGGAAAAAGAGATCTACATGAAAATCATCTTGAGGGAGTTGGGGCAATGTATCAAAGAGGAGATTTGTAAATTGTGGATGGTTCTGGGAGAGGCTCAATGATAAAACAGATTAGGAAAAGGTAAAGAAACTGGCAGAATGGAGGTGCCAATACCAGACTAATGGGCAGAAACAAATTCACTCTTGAGTCTTAGCTGCAGGCCTTATCTCTTTTCTTTTATAATGGTCAACAAAGATTTATTGACGTAGGTAGAATTTTATAGAACTTTAATAACATTTTATTCATTCCCTTGAGTGTTCACTAGGTCTAATATGCTTTTCTAGGAATAGACAGTATACATAGAATTAATAGAGATGGCAGACATTCTGTTTTGGCTACCCTAATTTCATTTATGTTTTATTTTTTATGGCATATGTAAAAGGTAAAAGGCTAACCTTTTACCTTTTATTATGTATTAGAGGCTGGGGGACTGTAATACTCACCATCCCAGATACCTTTGTAGCTACTAAAGGCGGCCATGTGCTGTAGGACTGACCATTGACATGTAGGTGCAGTATCTTTGGAAAATCTTTTTACCCCAAATGAAAAAAGCCTTACTGGGAGCAAGCCTTGGCTATGGCTGTTTTTGCCCCTTCATTCTTCCTACCTGGAAATGGGACTTGAGGTATGGAGGTGCAGCAGCCATCTTGTGACCCTGAGACAACAGGCTTGAGATAAAGACCTATAGATAGGGAATGTGGAAAAATGTAGAGATTGATGACAAGTCTAAGTTGCCATACAGTCCTGTTCTGCCTAGCCTCAGACCTGTTGTATGAAACAATAAACCCCTATTGGTTTAAGCATCTTCAATAATATTTTCTGCTGTTTGCACCTAAATGGTACCCTAACTATTCTACTCGTTATACCATTGTCATTTTAAAGGATTATACTGGGAATAAGTATTATACTGAGAATAATTCTGTTATCTCTGTTTGACTATGTAATATATTCATCATATAAAATTACAACTTAAAGTATATGAACTGGACATATATTTGGAGACTTTTTTTGACTTCTGAACTATTTCAGCATTTTAATTGTTGGCAATAAATGTGCTATGTGTGAACTATTTGATACTTTCCTTAAATTTCCCAGTCTTGTGCTTTTGAATAAATAAACTCCATGAAGACAGGGTTCTGGTCGTATTTTCCCTACTTGACAGATAGATATCAGGAATATATAAACATTTGATAAATGCTTTAAATGGATACATTAACTATCCCATTTTCAATTTTTAGTTTTTTAGTCTAAATATTTAGTCTAAATACAGTCTAAAAATATTTCCAATTTTTAGTCTAAATATTTAGACTGTATTTTTTCATATGTTGAGTTCTACCCAGCTTTGACTGATCAGGTGCAATATCTGACTTATGTATACTGCTCCTAGAACCCAACTACCGAACTCACATCTACAGCCATATCCTTTTTTGATGGGCCTCATAATTAATGATGCTCTATGAAAAACATCCGATTAAAGGTTTCCACAGTGTTCTTATTTATAGGATTAAGTATTCTAAACAGTAAGGATTAAATCATTGATTAAGTCGGGGAAATTCTGGTTTCTGTTTTCATACATACACACACGTGCATCACAGTAATACCAACAACTTTAGCTTTTGTATGCACACACTGCTTCTACTTTTCCACATAGCAACTGTGATGTGGGCATGACACATGTACCTTTGCATTATAGATAAGTAAGCAGAGACTCAAATTGAGTAACTGAACAAATAGGACTCGAAGTTGGATATTATTTTAAAATCTTGCTGCCTAACTAAAGGCAATTGATTTTTATTAATTATCTACCTGATACTCTTGTAATTTAATTAGGACATTCAGCTTTCTACCACTAATGCTACCTAATTCAGTTAAGGGTTTATACAGTTAGCCTGATTATCAGCTTCAACTGTAGGTAAAGAAATCCAAAAGTATCACTTGGGTTTTATCCTTGTAGTTTAGGAAGACATTGCTTATTTGTGAGTTAGTCATTAAGATAACGTATTTTCATAACATCTCTGAAGTGGTATACTAGACGAATGCTTTCTGATGGCAATGAATAACTTCTAGCAAAGCTGTTACGGTTGTTTTTCTAACTTCAAAAATTCTGTAAAGAGCACATGTAATGCAGAGTTCCATTCATTGTACAGATTTTTAAATGTAATCCACATTTGAGTGAGAAATTCCAATATTTTTAACCTTTTGAAGTAGTAAATGAACATGGTCACAAACAGTCAGAAATGCCAGCAGTTTAGTGAAGAACCAGAGGTAGTTGTTTTCATTCTACCAAACAACTAACCTTCTTTGTACTAGATACTCTGCTACAGCCTGGGAATACAAAGATGAAGGAAACTGAGACACTGACTCAGACGATCTCTATGTAGCCAGGGAGATACAGACAAGTAGAAAATGATAAGAATGTAGGGAAAGATGTGCTAGAGGTGAACAGGTGAAGATGATTGCAACACCAAGAGTTTGTACTTGTGCTGTTTGCCGAGAACAGCACTGCTCAAAGTAAATATAAGATGAACCACAAATGCAAAGCACATAGTTTTAATGTCTCACAGCAGTATTTCAAAAAGTAAAAAGAAATGTGAATTTAATTTTAATGCTTTATTTAGCCCATTATATAAAAATCCTAACATTTCAACATTTAATCAACATACAAATTATCAATTATATTTTACATTTTTTTTTTTTTTTTTTTACTAAATAGATGAAATCTAGTGTGTATTTTATACGCACAGAACCTTGTAATTCAAAATAGCCACATTTCAAGTGCTCAATGGAGCCTATGGCTAATGGCTGCTGTATAGAACAGCAGGAGCATAGAACACTCTTCCTTCAGGTATCTGCATAGCTTGCTCCTGTGCCAAAAAGGCCTTCTGCCATCTTCTAATTTGAGGAAAAATTTTCTAACCTGTCCCCTGATCTAAAAATATGGCTAATTTTTAAAGGTATAAGTTTCTAACTACAGAATTTCAAATTTAGTAAGCAAGATTCCTAGAAAATACATGTGACAGAGAAAGGAGCCACTTAGATACTCTTGACTGGGTAATGCCATACATGTGGTCCATTGAGAAGAATGCTGCTTAGTATTTTGTAATTTCTGTTGGAACCACCGCAGTTTTGTAAGGGGTTCTTTTGCCAAAAATCCATTAGAATATGAGTGCTAATAATATTTCTTAGAAGTAATTTAGAAAAGTTTTTTGTTTTGGTGTTTCTTGGATCTCTTATGAAGAGTATGTTTTAAATTTGCCTCCTTGATCCTTCATCATAGCTGACGTTTTGCATTTGTGCCAGTGTATGTGATGGTTCCAAAGGAATTACTTATTTTTGTCAAAAACAGGATGAGGTACTGAATCATAATGAGAATATTCAACGTATTTCATTTCCATTGTGATTTCTTGTTTGCAGTTTAAAACTTTATTTTCTGTAATAAGTTCAGGCAAGATATGTTTGGGCAGTAATCAGAAGAATAGCTGCAAGATACAGAGGGGGCTCTAGAATTTTGCTAGGGGTAATGGCGGGGGAAAATATATTTCCCCCTTCCAGTTCAAGCTTCAGTATTATTTATAAATAATCTCTTCCCAAAACAGCATGAGTGGGGATGTTTTCGAGACTTTTCAGAACATATTTTAGGCATTTTTCTAACTGTTTAAAATAGAAGTAGAACGACTCTTATGAGATTATCGTGAACCATTATAGAACAGGGTAATTGTGCTATAATTCAGAAGTAGAAGAAATTATTTATGTTGTATGATATTTTGTAATATGCCTTTGTTGTCAGTAATTACTTCTAGTACTTTGTAGTTAATTATAGAGTAATGTTTCAAAGAATGCATATGTCTTGATTGGCCTAAAACAGTCAATTCACATTTTAATATGCTTTTATACAATTGCACATTAAATTAGGTCATAATTATTTTTAAACAGGATGGTGAACTGGATGCTGAAGAACTTCAGAGATGTTTGACACAGTCTGGAATTAGTGGAACTTACTCTCGTGAGATCTTTTTTCCCCTTTTGTTGAAATTGTAATAGGAAATTTATTTTCTTACTTTTTTGTTCCTATAATTAAAATGTTTAAAAAATTATCACAGTTATACATGCACATAGTTTAAGAAGTGAAATAACTGTAAAACTCGTTAAGAAAATAACTGTTCATTGTGCATTCCTGTCTCCTCAACATTAACTGCTCATAGAGGAGACTTAACTTTTAAAAATCTGATTCTTTTGAAATTTGCTTCCATATTTCAAGATAGAATATTTTTTCACGATTGATTTTTGGATTTTATGATTGTCTGTTGATACCCTGCTATGGAAGATGAGGATTTCACTTTATTTTAACCTTAAACTCTCCTCTGTCTCTGCACTCCACAGGGGAACATTTCCCATCCTCCTGTCCTTCTAATGTAGTTATAATATATAATAATTTTTGTTAGGTATGTTAGTCTTTATTTTTACTATCTGAATGCTGCTTATAGCTGTATCTTATGATAATGCATGATTACTTTTCCTTTTTATATAATGTTTTGCTTTTCTTGAAATCAGTAGTTGTCGGGCATTCTTTCTTTTTCATTATCCTAGAACTCTGGGATATGCTGTTTTTATGCGTGGCTGTCATACTGGGATTCTTTCACCATTAATTCTAGAGCTGGTTTCCCCATTTCTCTTGAGTTAGATCTCCTTTTTACTCCATCTCTTGTTGTCTTCTTTTAAAAAATTCATTATGTTATTTTAGTGAAATATATAGTTAAGTAGCTTCTTAATAAAAAAGAAAAAATATGACCGGGCGCAGTGGCTCATGCCTGCAGTCCCAGCACTTTGGGAGGCCGAGGGGGGTGAATCATGAGGTCAAGAGATCGAGACCACCCTGGCCACCATGGTGAAACCCCGTCTCTACTAAAAATACAAAAATTAGGTGGGCATGGTGGCACGCACCTGTAGTCCCATCTACTCGGGAGGCTGAGGCAGGAGAATTACTTGAACCCAGGAGGCAGAGGTTCCAGTGAGCTGAGATTGGGCCACTGCACTCCAGCCTGGTGACAGAGTGAGACATCGTCTCAAAAACAAACAAACAAAAGAATACATGGGAGATAAATTTTTGAGAGCTTATTTATCTAAAAATGCTTTCATTCTACCTTCAGAATTGATTGGCAAGGTATAGAATTCTAGGTTACAGTAATTCTCATGTAGAATTTTGAAGGTATTGCTCCATTGTTTCTAGTCTCCCTTGTTGCTTTTTCTCCTTCCTGCCTGGAAGTGATGTGATTTGTTATTCCTCTCTGGAAACTTGTGAGATCTTTGTCTTTAGTATTCTGAGATTTGATGGTGAAGTGCCTAGTTGTGTTGTGTGGGGAACTCAGAGGGTATTCTCAGCCTAGAAACTCCTTTGCTTTAGATGTAGGACATTTTCTTCAATGATATTTTCTGTTTCTGGAATGCTTTTTGTTTTCACTGGGTTTTCTACTTTTATCATCTTTTCCCTCCTATCATTTTTTCTGAACTTTTTGGGAATTTTCCTCAACTTTATTTCCTAAACCTTCTATTGAGTCTTTAATTTCTGCTTTTCATTAAAATCCAAGAACTTATGTTCTATTTTCGTGAATGTGATACTGTCCCTTATCTCTCTGAGACTATTAATGTATTTTCAAAGTTTTTTCTTCCTATATAACCTTTGTTTTTTCCAGATTGTTTTTTCTCCTCATTTTGTTTGTTTTGGGTGGTCTTTCATGTTAGGTGCTTTTCTCAGTTATCTGATGATACTGTCTTGCTCATATTTTAACTAAAATACTGATGAGAAGCCCTGAAATCATGGTTAAGCATTGATTGTGGGCTTCAATGTATGGTGGTTTGGCTGGGCAGTTTTGTCTTGTAACTCTGGGTGTCGGTATCTTTAGGGATTCCCTTTTGGACTGGGTTTTCAGTTGACCTTCTGCCTGGAAAGGAAAGGTGGACTCAGAAGGGTTCTCAAGTCTTTTGTAAATTGTCCTTTAATTGCCTTACTTTTAGAAGATAGCCCTGTCTCAGCTCTGCTATCTTGCATTTCAGAGACCTCTCCAGAGAATAAAATTCCAGACTTTTGCTGGGTTGGAAGTAGGTGTAGCATCCATCCAACTGAACTGAGGCAGGGAGGGGATATGAGCCTTAGAATGCTCCTTAGGTAGACTTTCAGCCAATTCTTCTGTTTTTGTCTCCACTTTCACACCCACTTTCAGAAGTACTGCCAATTCTTAGGCATTTGGGGTCTTTTCCAAGGGTTGCTTCTCAGCTTTTCTCATTACAAGTTCAGGAATCCATTTTCTCAAATCTAGGTTGGTTAACTCACATCCATCAGTTCTTCAACTTGCAAAATTTTGTTCCTTTGTTTCCTGTCTAATTCTCTTTTTCTCTGGTTTTATGCCTTAAATTAGTTTACTCTCCATTCTAATGGACTGTGGGAGGAAGTGAAAAATCTGTCAACTTTCCTGAAAAGTCTGTCTCTTCACTCCTTGTCCTAAATATTTTTTCTTATACATGCACATTCTTATTCTGATATTGAAGATCTGCTTGTTTGCTGATTCAGATTTAGCCATCTATTGTCATTAATTCAGATTCTCCCACTTTATGAATGTGTGCCAAGTTAATTGTAAAGCAAAATAGATATTATTTACTTGCCCAAAAGAGGAAATACCATTCCAGAATTTCTCATGTAATCCCCTCACTCTGATAGGTTTATAGCCTTAGCTTTATAAACTTGGGAAACTACCTTTCTGGGTCGCAGTTTCTTCCTTTTTAAAAACTGGAACTATTATACGTTTAGCATGTTTATGTGAAATCATGTAACATACACCACCTTACTCATATTAAGAACACATTGAGTATCTATTGAGTTGTCAATTTGAAAATACTACAACTAACAATTCTAACATCGATACTATATTAAACATATAAAGAAAATCAGCAATTTTAACTTGTGGAATGTTTTATAATTTTTTCTTTGGTGGGTCTAAAATTTAGCGGAAATAATTTTCTTCTTTTATAAAATGTTAAAATGTTATGGATAAAATAAAGTAATAATTTTGAAAATTTTTATTCATTCATTCATATTAATAAGCTGCTATTAAACACTTTGTAAGTTTAAACTGTACTAACATGATATTTTCTTTATCAGGGCATGAAATTAGTCTTGGGATATGTCAGCATATTAGTTGAATGTAATTGGATTAGAAAAATTAGAAAAGGATTAGAAAAATTGAATTTTATCAATAGGTCATCAGTTGTAGTTCTGTAAATATGAAAGTGTTAATATTTCGAATTACCTCTGGTTTTAAGATAGCTTGTATTGATATTTTCTTCCTTTTTTCTCCCCCCAACCCCTGAGAAAAACCTGCTGCTTCAATTCAGATGCTCATTTTTTTTTACTTGGTCTATTACAATAAACTACCAATGGACTTACCTGTTTCCAGTATCATCTCACTTTATATTTTATTCATTGTAAACTAAAGTTTCTAAAATAGAAATTTTAGAATTTCCCTTCTGCTTCTGAAACACTTCAGTGGCTTTCATTGGCCCAAACATTTTGGGGTAGTATTCAAAAGTTTCATGATTTGGCCCTCATTTGCCTTTCTGATGTCGTCATATGTCACTCTCTCCCATGTACTTTAACTCAAGTTTTGTGATCTCTGGGTACATGTCAAACTTCTACTTTAACTCCACTTGACATTTGTGTTATAAAGACTGGAAGCCTTCCTCTTCCTCAGGCTTGGGTGAAGCCAAGTGCTTTATATACCTGGAGTGTCTTTGTCACAGTAATTTTCAGTTAGTATATAATTGCTCATTTAATTACCTTAGTCCCCTCACTAGATGTGAGTACTTCGAAGGCAGTAATTTTTTTTAAAACAATTGAATATTATTGCTTAACATTCAATAATAGCTTGTTGATTGTAGTGATCTTATATATTTTGGCAGTTTTTAAATGTTTTATTTTGAAACTAGAGATTGTCATAATTTTACATAGATAAAGTTGGGCATACTCTAATTTAAATATTGAATATGTTTTACAGCCTTCAGTTTGGAAACCTGCAGAATTATGATTGCCATGTTGGATGTATCCTTGAATAGAAATAGAAAATACTAGAATAAAGAGTAATTGCTTTCTGAATATCAAGCCAGTGGTTAGATTTCAGTGCCCATAGTAAACTAGTGAATTTAAAAATACTTTGTAAGATCCTGTTTAAATTCTAGGCTTTTTAGTTTTTATATGGAAATCTATTCATATAATGAGTTTGGCTAACTCTACAGAAGCAAACTCCTGTTTTAGTCAATGATTTAGAGTCAGATAAACTCAGGTATCAAAATTTATTTTTGTTAATAAAACTATCAGAGAGATTACACAGGAAAACTGGGATTTAATGAATTCAAAGAGCTATGGGCAGCTCTTAATGCCTGGAAGCAAAACTTCATGACTGTTGATCAAGATGGAAGTGGCACAGTAGAACATCATGAGTTGCGTCAAGCCATTGGTCTTATGGGTAAGAACATTAACGTTCTTTAGAATCTATAAAGCTCATCTTTGTTCTTTGATTAGATGAACTTAATTGCTTCAATTTACTAAGTAATAAAGGGATATATTTTTTCACCAGCAAGTTCCTTTGTTTGTTTTCAAAGTTGTAGGTAGATTCTGACCAAATACCTCAACAAAACCATTTTAATTATGATTTTTTTTCAAAAGATGATCTTCCATACATGCATACATTTTGAATTTCTTCTGCTCTGTTTAAATTTATTTCTTTGTTAGTACTTACCACTTATATTGTATTCTTTTATAACTTGTCAGGGTCTCTAATTGGGAGCCAAAGCTTGCCTCCGTCAGTCAAAAGTCTGTACAAAATAGCTTTTCAGCAGTAAAAACTATATTTTTGTTTGTCTTTTTTTTCTGACATAGTACAGAACACATAGCAGGTGCCAAAATACATCAAGTTGGAAAGGTTGCATTTTAGAGTAATTTAAAAGTATATGACTTTATTCTTATCATACCTCTCTCTGATAAGCTGATGTTCTTAGTGTACTTTCAAAATGGATAACATACAATGGTGTTTAATTTGCTTAAAGTTAATGCAGTTTTAAATAGCTTTATGAATTGTTTTTATGCTTGTGATTTACACTCTTTTCTAAACAAAATATATTTACATGAAAATTAATTTTTTGGTAGTTAAAATCTGAACCCAATGGAAGTGGACTTACCTCAAATTGCAATTTAAATAAGTCAAATTAGTGATTTGTTTGGTTTTGTTTTATAAATAGACATTTTAATTTAGTAGTACGGACAGTCCAGCCCATGTAAACATACGTAGTACAATTATAGATCCTTGATACCTAATGGATTAAACCTGGACCTTAATTCAGCCTGATGTTGGGAAAGTAATATAATCTTTGGCAGAAAAGAAAACCTCCAGAGTTCCAGTTAGGCAGTGGAATGTAAAAAGGGTTTTCTGGATTGTCCAAATTTAAGGTCTTCATATATTTTTTAAAATATTCAAATTATTTTGCTGAGAATACTATGAGAAAATCTAGGAATTTTATAAGTACCGCATTTAGCTTGTAACTCTGTAATATGAAGTTCAAAATATATTTGCATATAATTACATTAGTTTGCATGTTTTACTGCTTCTTTCAATTTATACGTTTCCTGCATTACATTCTATTGTAGCTACATGTATAATGATCTCCTATTGCATTTATTTTGGTTGTTTTTACCTTTGAATGGGTGAGTGTCATTTGCTCAAGTCTACAAATCCAGTAATGTATGGGCAATAATAGTGGGCTACTATTCTTCTTAGTAAAATGTATACATCTCATTAAATGCATAGGGCCATCTAAAAGGGTACAGCAAGTAGAATATATTAATTTATGTTTTTATTCTTTTTTATTCTTTTTAAATTTTAGATTTTATGTATATTTTAAAATGGGAGTAATCAAACAATAATACATGTATAGAATTTAAAAAAATTTAACACATACTGGAAGTGAATGATCAAAAACTTCTTTCTCATCGATATAAGTATACAATCAAAAATTTTGGACATCACAGGACTACTAGAACAAAGAACCAAGGAAATCAGTGAAATAGTGAGAAAGCTGTTATTAGTGTTACAGTGTATGAAGAAATACTCAGAATTCCAGGACAAAAAAGAATAGTGTTTTTCTGTTTTTTCCCCTTTAGAGTAATCATGTTGATCCTCAAATTTCCCTTACTTATAAAAGATACTTTCAAGCAATATGTTCAGTGGGAAATATCATTTGAATAACAAAGATCATTAGTAATCCTTGCATTAATGTTCTTAAGAACTATACAAAGTTACATAATTGAAATATTGAAGCATTAAAATCCATGAAATTAGACATTATTTCAAAATAACAATATATGATAAATTCATAAGAAGAAAATTATTTTCTTTTCCTTAGCTTTGCCTTTATTACAAAGTTAGAATTGTGATATTTATATACCGATTAACAGGATTAACAGTGAAGCCTTGGTCTGATCAATTTCAATATTAATGTGTTTTGTTTCTAATTATATTTTTGTGGAATGAATTTTGAAAGTTATTTTATGACTTGATTAATGAGAAGGCAATCTTGCAGTGTTCTTACGTTATTTACATTTAGAAGTTTTAATTTATCTCTTTTTTAGGTTATAGGTTGAGTCCTCGAACAATAACTACTATTGTTAAACGTTACAGCAAGAATGGCAGAATTTTCTTTGATGATTATGTTGCTTGCTGTGTGAAGCTTCGCGCATTGACAGGTATTGACTATTTAAAACTAGGTGTACAGTATTATGTAGCTATTTTTCTTGAATAATGTGTCTCGTTTCCTCCAGCAAGTTTATAATAATATGTGTTTTCCCCCTTTATTCACTGTTAAATCTAATTAGTTTTAAGGCTTTAAATATTAAGGAATATAAATGATAAAAACTTGTTATATGTTATTTTTGGAAGTTTTTCTTCATATCTCTGTTGCCTGGGCTATTCAATCACTTCTAAGATTTAATTGAATATGAGATTATTCTTTTTTTGTACCTGGGGGCACTAAATATTTGAAACTATGTATTTTAAATTACAATAAAAAAGTAATTTCTTTGTTTAAAGATTTCTTTAGGAAAAGAGACCACTTGCAACAAGGGTCTGTGAATTTCATGTATGATGATGTGAGTATCCTGCTTTTGGTATTTATACTGCATTCTGGATGCATTCTTAGTTAGTAAAAAAATTTAAGTGATCCCAAGTACCGGTACTGGAAATAATATATTTTGTATGCCATATACTTTTCCATATTTTTCAGCTTAACACAAATATAAGATTAATATTGGCATAGATGCCAAACAATTTGACTTCATGTTAAATTGTAAATATACTTTTCAATTTTTATGACAGGTTTTTTGAATTTAGAAAAATGAATCATTTTTAAGGGCCAAAACCACTATTATTTTTAAAAAGGGTAGTTTACTGTAGTGATATTTTTTCTCAGGGAGGGAAAAATTTTAATCCATGACACATTATTGAAGCTGTTCATTTCTCATTTCAAATGGTTACTATTAACTTGATATTCAGGGTTTTTTAAAATTCAAGCTATAAGACAGTTATATTTTACCTGTGCTTTAATGTTTCAGGGTTTTTGTTTTGTTTTTCTTATATTTACTGATGAAAGTTATGTGGTCAACATTACTGGTATTTATTGGCTTGAATTATAAGCCTTGGAAACAAACTTTTCTCTCTTAAGAAAATGCTCTTGTAGAATATAGTCAACAACAGTTAAAAACCATTTTATTCTTAACAGATAATAATTTTACTTACATATTAGTTTTTGCAGGGCACTATGGCAATTTGAATGTTCAGAATTCTAAACCTGAAGAGACACTGTGAATTCTTTTGCTTGGAAGAAGTGAACTGGACTACTTTAAAACTTTTAAGCGTTTTCCATGTTCTTCCTACCTGTTAAGTCTCTCTTCACTTTCTGTGTGTTTTTATTTTAGCAGATAGTTCAAAACAATAAAAGATTTAAAAAAAATTTAGTGTATTACTGCTTTTGGAAAAGTTATTTTACAAATATGTGCATATTGTCATAAAATATTGGTGTATGATTGATTTAAATAATGCTTAGCCTTAATTTTTAACAATGTAAATTTAGAGGAATGTACTTTACAAGATAGATTGTGTAAGAAGCCAGATGATGAAAGCCTAGAAAAAACTAATTTATACTTATCTGAAGGTTACAAATTAGACTTTAAATTTTGTTTGTAGTTGGTGGTGTTTGAGGGCCAGCTAGAAATGAAAGCCTGGATTTTGTGCTGTGTTCGTAATATAGTTTATTCCTTGATCAAATAATCAGAGAAAAAACACTTAAAGGTCTTTGTCTGTGAAGAAGAAAATTATCTCCCCAGTCAAATCTGTGGTGGGATAAGACTACAGAAGGCATTATTTTTTCCTTTTTAATTTTTTGTTGTGTATATTTTTCTTCAATATGTTTTATTGTCTTCTCTAAGCAAAAAGTTCTTAATAAACAAAGTATTTCTCTCTGCACCCTATTTCATTAGTGAAGACATAGTTCCCCTAAAATGGCATCCTCCTCTAAATCTAGACTTTTTGGAAATGGTGTATATTTTTGATGATATGTCAACATTCAAAATTGTCCTAATTAAATTGTTGTTTAAATGTAATGTCAGCTGTTTATAAAGTTAAAAAAAAAGTAATTAACCACTCTAATTGCTCAGAAATTATACATTTGACTTATTTGACAATATTAACATTAGTGGTGGCTTTGCCGTTAAAAACCCAGTAAGTATATTGAGTGCATCTATGTGATGTGGTGTTTTGAGCATAGTAGGCACCACAGCACCTTTTCTGAGTGGTACTAAAACTGCCGAAAATGCAAAGTAGAATCACCAGATCTTTAGTGTGCAATATCCCTGGTATAAGATGTTATGATTAATGTAATTTCTTTCTTGGCAAACACCTCATGTCTATCTTAGTGAAGATTTAATAAACCACATATTTTTCTTACGCTTTAAATGCATATCTTCCAATCTAACAGTGAGTGACATAATTTTATGACTGCTGACCAAATTAATTTATAGATTTTATAAAATCCCATGTTTCTTAATGGATGAAGGATAGATGGCAATATCTTGAACAAAACCTTTTATAAACTTACAGAATTTTAAATCAGCTTTCACTTTAAAAATTCCTGGAAAGGAAGTAATGCACTTGACACTGATAATTTTATGTAATTTGCTGTCAGATTCACTTGGTCAGTTTTATAAAAATGTGTGAATAAGTAATCCACATAATTTTGTTCTCTGGCTTTTTTTTATGAACATATATTTGATAATGTGAGAGGACATTAACTGAGCTGGTAAATTAAAGAAACAGAATTCTAATTAGAAGTGTTGTAGGAAAAAGCAAATGTAAAAACACTATGTGTCGTTCACGTTGAATGGTGATAATGTGACTCAGCAGCCTGTAATCTCAACATCCAGGTTATACAGATGGTTGTTACTGAACTATTCTGTGGTCAACTATGATTCTCTCTCTTACTTGGAGGCTCACAGTTGAGGTAAAACTTTTAAAATGACAAATGGCATTATGCAAGTTTCTGCCAAATGACACTCTGTCTCAGAATTCTTTAACACAATTCTCATCTAAAAATGTTCCTATGACTTTTGGTCATAGAAGGTCTGTGAAGGAGCTTTCATGGCCAAACATATTTAGAAACTCTCGCTTTCTAAAGCTTGATAAGGTCTATTAGCATCTGAAAGCCCAAGGTTAATAAAATCAGTCATGTTTAATTTTATTTGGCTCAGTTTTTTCCAAACTTTTTGACCACAGAACCCCTTTCTCTAGCAAAACTAACATTCTATGCCGATCCAACTTCATTGCCAGGCAACTCTTCTGCACTTTACATTAAACAGACAAACTTATATTCACAGAAACATTAGGCCTACAGAATATTTTACCAGGATTTTTATACTGAAATACAGTTCACTTTTTGATGCTTTAAAAATAACTGATACAATATTTTTATGATGAACATGACTGCAATATGAATATAGTAGAGTAGTTTGCACTGGTTAACTCACACCCCAGTTCTTTTATGATGATGTTAATTATTGAATAATGTACACTCTTAATGTATAAGTGCTTTTATTTATACAGTAAACATGTTTCCATGTCATTTTGAGAATTTTTTTTAATAAACATTCAAATAGCTTGCTGTAAAGTTTTGTATCATACAAAATCTGTTACATATATATATATATTATGAGATGCTTCAGTTCAAATAACAGTGCAGTAATTCACCTATATCTAAAAGACTGCCAAATGATTAAATGTCAGGTATTGCACTTCTATTTTGAGTGGCAGTTTACACATTTTAAATTACATCAAGGGTAAATCAATATTATGGAAATCTTAATTTGGTCCACTTTAAATGTAATTTCAAGGATTTCTCATTTGATCTATTTACGCATGCGTCCAGAAAAAAGTAACAAAAAATGTAGTCAAGTTATGTTTATTTCCAAAAAAGGCATTTACCCTAGAAGAAAGTAGAATCTGTTAATATAGTTTAAAGTCTGTGGAGTTAAAAAAATAACAAAAAATCAGTTTGTGATTATTTCTTTAAGTAAAATATAAGACATCAAGTTTACTTGTAATCTTATGGCATTACTAAACTGGACAAACAAATAAATACTCTTGGTCAAAAATATGCTCTTCTTTGCCTTTTTACGTTTGACAAACTCTTAAATGATATGTTTTCTTCTGCTTTTCTATAGTCTTCTGGGTAATGAATAGAAATAAATCTGTTAATATCTGGTGAATTAAATCCGATGAGTAAATTCCAAGACTTCTTTCAGGCAGGCATATTATGTTCCCTAAGCTTTAAAATGCAACCATGGGTGTTTTATTACTTTGAAACTTGTGTTAGAAGATCCCATTTTTTTGGTCGCAATTCAATCATTTACATAATGAATTAAGCATATTTGAATAAATACATAATGTTAAAGTATCATCCAATAATATGTCTAGAGTTTATACATAATATTAGATTAAATTAAAATATTTAGAACTGGTAAATATTTAGAAGTTATGAGTGCAGACAGGATTTTAAATGAATACTGCCCAGGTAATTTGAAGTCTAGAATGAGGTCATCATATAGTACATATATTAAACTTTTCCTGTAACTTAGAATTCTGAGCATAAAACTACTTTCCAGCAAAACACTGGGAAACTTAGGAAAAATTGGTCTATCAGCTCATTATTTGAATGCTGGGAAATCTGTGCTTTTAATCATTTTTGCCATATCTCTTTCTACTTGTTTTTAAAAATATGTTTTTCTGGCATATAAAGAAAGAGTCTTATATACTTAGCATTCCTTTTATCCAAGTAGCTTGGTAATATGCAGCTTTGTGTATTATTTTGCGAGTATTCAGGACTCAGGTGTGCTTCTATATATCTGAATAGTGAGTAGACATTGGCAACACTTCTACATCACTATGATGTGCCATACAGTAAGAGAATGAGGAAGCTGTTTCCCTATGTGCTAATTCTGTTTTCAGATGTGCCCCTTCTGTAACATCAGAGATGGTGGCAATTTGCAAAGCTTACAGGGAGTGAGAATTGGCCTAGATCATCATTTAATAGCAATATTCATGGGCACTTATATTGGGAATGATTAGGTCCTAATTCTGACATATTGTGAGAGGTACCCCGATGTTTTCCCTTAACCATAAAAATGTAAGTATGTACAGATACATGCATAAAAATATTTGCATTCTAGTTGACTGTATTATTGAATCAAATTTCATTTTGCTGTAATTACTGAATTTTCAAAGGATAACCCGAAGAGTGCTAGTATGAATATCCCAGAAACATATTTATTAAACATTCATTTTTTGAAAATTATAAGTCATTTTCAAATGATTTTAAGATTTTTCTGAACTTTTGGATGCATATTTAATTTCCCATAGCTATCTGTGGTACCCTCAGATTTATATTATGGCAAGAGATAATTTATCTTATGGTAAGTTCTAAAATATTTAGCTGCTTCATATTTAGACTCTCATTTTCTGATCAGCCTCGGTTGTAGATACCAATATAATTTTTTCTGCTATCTGTGTTTGGTTTTTCATTTATCAAAGGGAAATGTTCTTTTGGTGTTTTAAACCTTTAAGATGAAGGTTGGAAAATCTAAGCCATGAAACAGACTCAATAGTCCTTAACTTACGTGCCACATTATGGCCAACACGTTTTATTTACAAGTTTTCTTGAAGGTAGTTTGATATTTTTTCCCCTTAATAGAGAAGAAACGGGGGGAGGAATTAAAGTATGAAACTCAGGCAAAAGAAAATATCTGGATATTTTCATTCTTGGTTAAAAAATGAAGCAAACATATGTTATAAAAAGTTATTTGCACATAAGTTAAAGCCTGTTTATCCATCAGAAATTTTAAGTAAACAATAAATGTTTTAGTCAATCACTGTTGTGGTCTTAACAGGCAATAGGTGAAATACTGTATTTCTTAATTTTAGATTTAATGCTTTTTGCCACTCAATCTATCTTACTAGTGTCCTGATGGAACTCAATAAAACTGTAGCACTGTTACATGTGATTTCATGAAATAACATCAGCACCACCATGCCTATATCTAGTACTGTTCCTAGTAAAATGTTGGAAAAAGTTGGCTTCTCTAGTAAAAGTATCCTACTTAGCTAATGAGATTTACTTTCTTTTTCCCCAAAATAATTTCTTTTACAAATTCTTGAATTATTCATGTATAAATAGATCAGAAATTATATGCTTCATTCTTAAATTATGTATATATACTCTATTTTCAATACAACTTGTACACTTCTTTTAGCTACCAAAAATTTGCAACCATTTTTTACAGGAAATGTACATATTTACAGTTATCTGTAGAAGCTTATTGCAAAACTAGTTGTGCAAGTAGATTACACTGTCAATACCACATACCAATCTTTGAAGAAAATATTTACTAAAAAATAAATATTTCTGCACAGAATATTTCAAAAGCATTATGATTTCATGCTACATTATGTGCATAAAAACTAGGAAATAGTATGTGTTTTGGTAGGTTGTTTCATTTTGTTTAAAGCATTCCAGGGTACTTACTACTTAGCCAGATGTAAGTGAGCTGCTTTGTATTAGATGACTGACATTTTCAAGTGATTATACACATTCTTTTGTGAAATGTATTATTCTGTAACTGGTAAACATTCTGGTGTAATACATTTTCCCACCATCAAAATTATAAAATGAAAATTTCAGCTAAAAAGCGGTAATGAGCCTTTAATTGAAATCACTAGGTGGCTAGGAGATAAAAACTAGAGATTCCTCAATATTTCTAATCTTATATAACATTTGGAAGGAAGGTGCCATATCATTTCAGTGCTATTATAAATATAGGGGCATTTGAGGAGACTATGTGGAGGAGTTAATTATAAGATTACTGATCCTTTAATTTTACCCCTAAATAAGAATGATGAAAATGTTATGGAATTTCTTATATATCCAAACAATATATGTCAGTATAAATAATACAGTTGAAATGCTAACAGTTGTGATTACTTTCAATATAAAAACATTAAAATACACAAGAAGAAATACAAAGGATAGAGGTTCAACATAGTGCTTTAAAATCACAGGTATATCAAATTATTTTACATCTTTCAAAATATAAATTAATGGAAGTCACAGATGTAGTGACTATAATTTAGGGGATTCATTGAATTTTTGACATTAGCTTTTGAAGAATAACGATGTTAATATTGCCACTTCTCATAATAAGTACTATTTTATTGGGAGTATTTCTGTAATCTTGCTATTCTCATTTAAAAGTTTGATCATGAATGGTAGAGCAATTAAATTTGTCAGTTGATTGTATGGTTCTGTGTTCTTAACATTGCATTTCTATAGATGTTTTGATGTATTCATAGTAATAACATGTTTTAACTTCTTGTTAGTAATCTCTCAATCTCCACTTAATAGTTTATATATATAAGCCTCACAGTAATTTCTTTTCATGCTTTTGGTTATTAATAATTCATGTCTTTCTGTTAATTTTCTGTATTTGACATTTCACCAAAGTGTGTTTGTACCACAAATGCATGTGATGAATTATTCTACTCTTGGGCACTGATCAATCACAACACCTAATACTTTACATTTAAAACACGATCCTTTTAGTTTGTAAAGTGGTTTAACATCACATCATAAGTAGAACCACAAGAAAAAACTTTGGGAACATTTGAGGAATGAGGGAGAGGGGATGAGCTATTGCAAAGCTAGAAAACAATTGCAATGCAAATAAGTTTATGAATGGTGGACAAAGGCAATATTTAACAAATATAAGGATGCTATCTACACTGGCGTTCTCCTGCTCTGAGCAACTAGATCTTTGGGAGGCATGTGAAAATGACTTTATAAGTTTTTGTTATACAGTATGAATGTGCATGGTGGGTAAAGGAAAGAGCAACAGAAAGTGTTTTAGAAGACCTTAAGTAGTGCGACTGCACTATCACCATATTCCACTATCTTTATGATGATGCACACATCACACAATAATCTTGTAGATTTACTATAAGGAATAATGTGCTTTATGGTTTACAAAGCATTTCTACTTACTTATTTCAGAGGATCCTCAACACACCCCTTCAAGATATGTTAGATGCTACCACCATTTTTATAATTTTGGATAACTGCGGCTTACTCTGGATTTGTCCCAAGAATAAATGGAGAAGGTATAATTTGAATTCAGGTTTACCACATTGAGTCCCCTGCAATTTCCACCGATCCACACAAGAGCTTAGCCAGTTTAAGACTGTGTAACATATCTGTGCAATGAGAGAGTGGCCTAGGGGTCTGAAAAGAACCATTGCAACTGTAAAATTATATTTTCTGTAAAAATGGAAAATTATATACTTTCAAAATTGTACTTTGTAAATGTATTTTCAAATATCCATCTAAGGACTATATCGTAGATCTAAAGAAGGACTTCCACAGTGAGCCAGCCTTTAGAGAATACATTCTAGTAGTACTGATCGACAGATTACTTTCACATACTTGGCATGTAACATTGATTCAGAGTAGATATGTTTATAATAAGGAGATTGATACTCTCACTATTATTGTAAATAATATTACTTTAAAGCTATAAACCTAATAGTGCAAAATACAATTAAGAGAGATAAAACAATAGCTACATGTAAGTTTCTCTGAATCAAAAACTTTCATCTTGGCAACAGCAATGTTGTTGGAGACATTGCACATTGTGCAAAATCTAAATCTTGGGAAATTGTTCTGATTGTTTTAATGTCATGTTTCTGGATGAGAAACAAGGGACTCAGCATTTTTTGAGCACCTAATATATGCCAGGCCCTTTACTATATTTTATCTCATTTCTTTCTCAAGCTTCTGTGAGACAGGTATCATTATCTTATTTTTAGAGATTCAAGAAAAAGACTCGGGGAGGTTAATTAACTTGCTCAGGGTCACACAGTTATTGATGAAAAAACTGGTATTGGAACCCAAGTTGGTCTGATGCAGAATCTATGCTTGCTCTTCTACATTGGTAAATTCTCAAATTGTTAGTGTGTGTAAGGATCACATGAGGGAGGGCGTGTTAAAAGATGATTGCTGGGTCCCACCCCTAAACTTTCTGATTTAGTAGATCTGGGGTGAGACCAAGA